GAAACGCTTAAAAAATAAAGCTAGATACAACCATAAGTTCTAATCTAATAATTTTTTCCACGCACTTCTTACCTGTTGAACACCTTTCCGATTCCTTGCATCATAAAACTCCTATAATCTTTAAAAAGTTTAAATGCAAATCTAATCGCTATTGACTTTCTTCCTTAAACCTGTTCTTTTATTCTCCTTTGTCTTCGCTGAAGTGTTCTAATTCTGTTTCAATCCCAGTAATTCTTCGGGGTGAATGATTAAAAACATAACATTAGGAATAGAATAATGTTGATGAAGGTATAGCTATAAAACAGAAAGTATTCACGGACATAACATTAGTCATAAAATTACCGTCTACCCAAGCGTATCATGCGAATTTCGAAAACCTAATTATGAAGCAAATTGTAAGGGTCGAGATATAAAATTAGCGAATGTACTGCAGGCCCTGGCTCCTCCGTTGACCAACCTATATATCCATTTACTCTAGTCAAATAGGCTTCAAAATTTCGTTTTCAAGGGTCACATGATACGCGAGTATATACGGCATACTGAAAAAGTTTCATCTAAGAAGCAACAACGAGGATATAAAATTAGTAATGGAATATATGATATAATGAGTGAAAAAAATGGTAATGCAAAAATCATAGAACTGTGAAACCGGTAAAGTTATTTTAAATAAATATTTTCAAAGACTCCATTTACATATTCAGTTTCTTTTTGCAATATATTTTTATGAAAAACTTACTTTAATCTCTCTCTCTCTCTCTCTCTCTCTCTCTCTCTCTATATATATATATATATATATATATATATGTAAGCAAATATATGGATATAAATCCGACAGTATGAAGAAAATATATACGGAAAAAACAAACAAATTCCTTACATACAATTATATTGTTTTAATGTTAATATGTCAACGTCGGTTGTCATGTTGTATTGATAATGTTATAATTTATGAATATGTTCTGAAGATGGTTTATTAAACCGAAACGTCCGACGTTGATATATTAACATTAAAGCAAATATAATTGTATATAAGGATATTTGTTTGTTTTTTTTTATATATATTTTTATATATATATATATATATATATATATATATATAAAAAAATTACAAAATTAAAAAATAATAATGTTTTATTTTATGAAAGTATTTATTTATTTATATATATAAATAAATATAAAATAAAACATTATTATTGTTTTAATTTGCAACTTTTTTCTATATATACATATTAAGAAAGTATACGTGGCTTTCTCATTATGCAATATATATATATATATATATATATATATATATATATATATATATATAAAAAGAAAGTAAGATATCCAGTGTTCTTATTGATAGTTTTATTTTTATTTTACAAAACAGGGCTCAATGTAAATTTACAGAGCATAAATATTATAAGTTAACTGATTGAAAATATGTTTTTTTTCGCTACACAGTAATAACCAGGTTTCAAAAATAGACGCTGAAAGCTTTAAATTTAATTATATAATTAAATTAAAAGCATTGGTTCCGTTTCATCTTCAAGCGAATATTGGAATAACTTATTTTTAAATTTACTGAGTTTTAAATGCATATATAAATTCATAATTTACTATTTTAAAGGATATAGAGAAATCCAATCATTCAGACAAGAGCGTGTTCATTTTTAGTGACTATTGTTGTATCAATTTTGAGTTACGTTCGAAAAAGAGGTTAAGTTTAGGGAGGGTAGGGGTGTATTTTTCAACGAATTCTGACATCCATTAAATGCATGTCGTCTGGGTTGTTTTATTAACGGCAAAAAATTTTTCGGCATCTTTTTTCTTACTTGTATACTTAAATATTCTTTTTTTTACATTTTATTTCACTACCATTTTAAAATATTTTTACTCTTAATTATTAATAGAAGATATTTCTTTTTGAAAAACAATTAAATGTAATAGAATTACTTACATTATTTAAAATTATATTTTTAATCCAATATAAGTATGTATAGTACCAGCTCCCATTTTATAATTTTATTTTTAAACATTATTTAAGGAAAACTTTTGCCAATGACGGCAAAACATAGCTATTTCATTTCTCTGATTCAGTAAATTTTTATTTTTTATAAACTTAGTAATATATAGTATCTCATGTATGCACAAAGGAAATGGGTCATTTAATAACGGACATATTCCAGCTGTGTAGGGAAAAAACTTATTTTCAATCAGTTAACTTATTATATATATATATATATATATATATATATATATATATATATATATATATATCCTTCTTTTATATAATAAATGCCAATATAAGTGTGTCACGCTTTTTCAATTAAAGGGACACAACTCTCAAAAGCTAATTTTCTTCTTCTATATAATAAATGCCAATACCCGTGTGACATTGTGTCACACTTTTTCGACTTTACTCCTTGAGGTTGTAGCCCAACATATCATACTATTTGGGCATCAGGCCGACTCCATGACAAAATTTAAAAAATTTCCGGTCGGATCTGGGCCCACAATCCTGAAGTTTTCATTGCTGCAATTGTTTTCGGCGATATTTTACGCTATGTTTTCAGTTCTGTAGTTTATTGTTGCCTATTTATCTACTCTTCCCTACCTATTGTGTTGAAGGTCCAATCAAGAGCCCTCCGTCGGAGCTAGCTTAAATGCAACCCAA